TTCTCTCCAAAAATTATAATGATTCTTGTCCAGAATCTTTCCCAAACAGATGTACTAGAATACATACCATATAGCTTTCAAATAGTTTGCTTTCAGTATTCTTTTCCCAACGTTCAATTCACATGTTAATTTATTGTTAATAGCCCTGATCCACATTTCTTTATACCGATCCTCCATATTAAACTGGTTATTCCTTGCAAATATCAATCTTGCAACTGCTACGATAATAACAATAATTCCTTCCTTCCTTTTGCCCCTATTCTAACTGTATATTTCCAAACATATTTAACATTTTCATTGGACACCTTTGTTTGTCAGTACTCATCATTTCCTTTGCAGCTGTGTTTGACTACAACTCCCATCACTATGCAATGGGAGGTGTAGTTCTGCTGTATTTGGAAAGCTCACAAGCCCCATCCCGGTTGGGAAGCTTGCTAAACGTTTCGTATCCTAAGGGCAATGGCTGAGAACCAAGCGGTTTCAAAACCAATTTTTTTCTTGGTCAGGCTTGGTGCCCCATGGAGCAAATGTGGGACTCATAAAGAGATGATGATGATGTTAGCTGCACCAGTGAAACTTCTGCCTGCCATGTTAAAGGCACAGGAACTTTGCTGAGACTTAGGAAGGAAGGAAGGAAGAAAGAAAGAAAGAAGGAAGGAAGGAAGAAAGAAAGAAAGAAGGAAGGAAGGAAGAAAGAAAGAAAGAAGGAAGGAAGGAAGAAAGAAAGAAAGAAGGAAGGAAGGAAGAAAGAAAGAAAGAAGGAAGGAAGGAAGAAAGAAAGAAAGAAGGAAGGAAGGAAGAAAGAAAGAAAGAAGGAAGGAAGGAAGAAAGAAAGAAAGAAGGAAGGAAGGAAGAAAGAAAGAAAGAAGGAAGGAAGGAAGAAAGAAAGAAAGAAAGAAAGAGTTGCTAGGCACTTCATTATGCAGTGTGGTTTCCACCAGTGGTTCATAGGTATTCTTGACTACCATCATCACCACCACCGCCCCCCTTCCTCACCTGTGGCCATAATGCTTCTGTATAAAGATCTAATGATGCAGCAGACATAATAGCAGATCTGGAGAAAGAGAGAGAAGGAGAAAGTCAGTCATTAAAAAAACCCCAGGCTGATGCATAGCTTGGGAACTCTTGTGATGCCTTTTGGGGTTTCAAGGCAGGAAGGCAAGACCTGAAAGCTGCCTTGAGTGTCCTCGGCTCCCTCTGAGTCTGGGGCAGAATCCGGCCCACGGTTCCTGAATCACGGAGGCCGGGCAAGCCAGGTTCGAGAGAGGAGAGCAGAAGGGCTTCGAAGACGGCAGGTTGTGGCAACAAGCAGGACGCGAACAGCTGGATGGCTCAGTGGTTGGTCTCCTTCCGAGCCAGAGGTCGGGATTCCCTCCTTGGGCCTCCTGGACAGGGGCCGGGCTTGACCAGCCATCGGGGCCCCTTCCAGCTCTGCAGTTCTAAGAGGACGGGGACGAGAGACGGAGTCTTAAGTGAAAGGGCCCCAGATATGCAAGGGGGGAAAAAGAACAGATTCAGGTGTGCAAACCCCATGGCAATCCTGGTCTTGAAGTGAGGAAGAAAGAGGTGGGCTCCTGGACATAATAAAATGAATCCTTTTTTTAACCCCCCCCTTTCTTCTTTATTTGCCCTGAGAGCAGTTCCAGGGCCTGGAGAAGCACCACCCTTCCCATAGACCCCCAGCCAGGGCCCTGATCCGGCAACCCCACTTCCACGACAGCAGTCTGAGTCCACTTCAGATCAACACCCCCTCTGTCGTCTTCAGAGGTCCATCCTCTGGAATCCGGGATCTGTAGCTCCACAAGGTATTCCAACGTAGGGGCCGTTTGAGGGACTACAACTCCCAGAACAGTGTTTCTTGGGCTACAGCTCCCAGGGCAGCCTTTGGGGAAGACTCTTTGCTCGGGCAGGAAAGGCTAATTCCCCCGTTCTGCGTGCCGAACGACAAGTCCTGCCTTGAACCCGAACCGCACCACATTCCCCCCTCCCCACCCCAACACCCCTCGGCGCTCCTCACCGCCGGGGCCAGGCTGACGGCCAGCTGCAGGATGATGATCAAGGTAACCAGGAAGAGGATTGTTTCTATAACCTCGAGGCAGCAGCCCTCGGGGGCCCAGTAGGGGAAGGTGGTCTCCCCCATGGGAGAGGCAGTGGGGCCAGCGGCTGGCCGGCTGGCCGGGCTGACATCCACACTCCACAGCCCTCCTGGTGGCTGGTGGTGGGGGAGCTACTGACTGGGGGGGCCAGGGCAGCAGCTGGGGGCAGTGGTGGGGAGGGGTAGGAGGGATTGTGATGCAAGGAGGCAGGCAGCCTGCAGAGAGAGGGAACATGGAGGGGATTGTGACCTAGCTGAGGATTTGGGGGGGGGCGAGAAAGAGGGAGGGCTGTTCTTCTTCTGCTTCAGCGCCGCTGACCCCTTTACGTGTCCCTACAACTTGCAGGAACACGAGCAAAATCAATACGGAGGCATTCGCCGCTAGTCTGCACACGATCGCCCTGGCTCGAGCGCTTCCTTCCTTCCTTCCTTCTCTCTCTCTTTCTCTTCCTTCCTTCCATCCATCCCCAGTTCCTTCCTTCCTTCCTTCTTTTCTTTCTCTCTTCCTTCCTTCCTTCCTTTTTTCTTTCTCTCTCTCTCTTCCTTCCTTCCTTCCTTCCATCCATCCCCAGTTCCTTCCTTCCTTTTTCCTTCCTTCCTTCCCTCCTTCCCTCCCTCATTCCTTCTTTCCTTCCTTCCCCCCGCCCGTCTACCTTTAATCCTTCCTTCCAAGTATCTTTAATTTATTCATTACATTGATCTCCCGGTTTCCCTTGAATGTGCATAAATCCCCATTTCACCCTCAAATCAGTCCAGCAAAGCAGATCTCTCAGAGTGAGAGCGACCGGCTGAGTATCTGGGATTCCTTTTTTGTTTGGTTTTGGTCACTTTTCTAGCCCACTTTTCTTACATGGACGTCACTCTCCTCTGCTCCTATTTTATCCTCACAACAACCCTGTGAGGTCGCTCACTACGGGAGAGAGCCGACTTGAGTCCGCCTCACCCAGTGTGTGTTTTCATTCAAGACGTATTTAAAGAGTTGCTCCATTTCAATTCTGCTTTCCCTCCCATGAGCTGGTGGGAGGGAAATGACTCTCCTTTATTCTCACAACAGTCTGATGAGGTTGGCCAGGCCGAGGCCCAGGGGCCTGGACTTGTTGAACCAGGGTCTTCTATGCCCAGGCCCAAACTCTAACCCGTACAGCCACTCTGGCATCTCTTCCTTCTTTTATTTATTATTTTTTTGGGGGGGGGCAATGGGAGCTGTAGTCCCACAAAGTCCAAAAGTGTCCAGTCGGAGGAAGTATGGGTTAGAGAACGCTGCCTCTCAGGGAGTAGGTGTGATTAAAATATAATATTCTAAATAGCAACTCGGAAGGCCTAAAACTCTGAAACTTTGGTTCCGGCACCCCTCGGCCTTACAGAGGCTAAATAAATAAATAAATAATAAAAATAAACTGAAAAGAGATGTGATACTATGGAAGATGATGGCTGCCACAGGGAAGCCTCAGCTTCGTCCGGAGACCACGGAAACCACAAAGTCTGTATCGAAAGCTGTAAAATACCTCACGATGTATAGCCAAGCTGCCTTTCACTGCCAGGAGGCTTGTGTCCAAACGACTCTGGACCCTGTTTGCAAATAGATATATATATATACTGTATTTAATAAAGCGATCTGGGTTGAGACAAGCGTATTTCGTTTCAAGAGGTCATTTTTACTTGCAGTAGTATCACAAAATACTCAGCTTTGCCACCAGATGGCATTGAGAAGCTGGGAAATGTAGTGGTGATGATGATCCTGGACCAGAAGCATCTCTCCACGTTATTGGCTCACATTGGTGACACACAACCCTACATACCTACAGCAGCAGCAACCTCTCAAGTGGACCCAAGAGACCAGGTGTCTCCACTTCACTCTGCTCCACCCATTAGGCTCCTTTTTTTTACCCCCCAAAACGCCATCTGCTATTCTTGCGCCGGCTCTCCCAGGGCTCTCCCTCGATCTGAACTTCCCTCCCTGGCCTCCCTCCCTTCCCTCGGCTGTAGATTCCAGTACCATATAGACTGAAATATGGGGTTTAACGGAGAGAACTTGCTTCCTCATAAATTCTTCACCATCGTTCTCTTCCTCTCTTCGTCCACACACACCCCTTTTAAAAACGTTAGTGCATCTGAGAGATGTAAACACTGGGTCGTCCATATGTCTTTCTGGCATTTCAAGAGCAGTGGGTAGCATAAAATGTAGTTGCTAGGGATGCTCAACTAGAAATCCCGTAGTCCCCGATTTTGGGAGTTCTGCCTGACTTACACACACCTTGCAGACACCTAAATGTGGCTGACTTGGGAGAAAAAGGCCTAAAATGGAAGGAACTGAGGCGTAGCTAGGCCTAGCTTCCCTCAGGTTTCCCCTTCCTGCTTCTTTCAGAACAGGAGGCCAGGGGGAGCTAGGCCTAGCTGAGCCTCAGAGCCGTGTAGGTGAAGCTTTCCTCCCAGGTAAGGTCACATTTATGTGTCTTCTGTCAGGTAGGACACCCAGCATGGAGAATTATAGGATTTGTAGTACAAGAAATCCCATCCGTAGCAGTTGCAGCCTCTGCCTGTCTGGTGTGGGTTGCAGAAAATTCTGTAGATGCATCATGGAGTTTCTGTGCCTTTAATTAAACACTTCTTGTGGTTGTTGTTTTGTTTGACCCTTGTATTTCTTTCGGTGGAGTGTGAATCAAGGAATATTAAGACGAGACCTATGAATCACTTTTCTTAAATAAAGCCTCTGTGCTTCATCAAGAGGAGACGGATAGTGACATTACTGGAACAAATTCCCAGGGCACATTTTTCCTGCCCAGTGGAGGACTAAAGCAGAAGCTGGACCAATGAGAAGGAATGTTTTAATTAATTTTGCAATGGGAATCTTTGCTGAGCAAAGGGGGCCTTTATTTAAAGGAGGAGGACCTTCCCCATAAGGGAAGACCCTGCTGAATAACATCACTTGGTGTGCTACCTGTTTGTGTGAGCCTGCCCTTGGGATGATGCTTCCTGCCATCTCTGGAAAACCAATGCCTTGGCCGTACCAACGACCTGCAAGCCACGAATGACAAAAAAGTATGTTGTCAGGATGAATTCACACCCTGTGAAGGGCAGGGAGGGGGCAATTATTTCCTTGAATCATCCCCGCCCTGGCGTCCTGCTGGCAAGACAGGACTACAGAGTCTATCATCCCCAGGCAGCAGGACCAATGGAAAAAGGATGAGGCTTGTAGTGCACGGCGTAGCAGTGTAAGGAAGGATAATTTCTGTTCTCCACTGAGGACAAAAACAAGTGGAGGACTCGAGTCATGGGACGCTCTGTCAAATTGGACTGAAATCGCACTGGCGACTCAACTTGGACTTGGTTTGTTTTTTCCCCCACAACTCATTCCCCCCCCCACTTGAGTCGGGCGCAACTCATGACTTGGTACTCACCCACCCCTCCCTATTTCTTCTGGGGCTAAACACTTGTTTCTAATAGGGACTCAGACTTGGGGCCAAAGACTTGAACTCAGGACTCAGGGGGGCCAAAGACATGTCAACCTCCTTGGTTCGAACTCTAGACGGAGGCGAAACGGAGGAAGAACCTTCTTTCAGAGCTGGGAAAAGTTGGGCTTTTTTTGGCTACTCTCCGCCTTCCATCTTGGATCCATCGCCCCGCCGGGCCTTTCTGCAGGTCTCTGCGTCAAGAGAAACAGGCCCTTTGGGTGTGACCTCTTTTCAGAATGGCCGCAGACCATTCTGATCTTCTTCTGAAATTCTTTGGTGTGGTCCATCAGGCAATAGGTATTTGCAATATGATCTCACGTGCCTCTTCCTTTTCGAAATCCAGCTCGAACATCAGGCATACAGTATCTCGCTCCATATAAGGTAAACACTTTTGTTGCAACACCTTAACCTTTAATCAACTTACTGTACTTGGGAAATCAAAGCAATGGTCCTATAGTTATGCCTCAAAATAGCGCCTTCGGTATTCTGTCTACTTCTGGTGATTTGTTTCTTCCTCGTGTTTTCAGAGCAGCTTTCACTATACCTTCTAGAACTTCATGTTCTCCCCTTTTGTCGTTCCTGTTTCTTTGAACCTGGTTATTGTAATCTCTGCTTTGACTTGGATTCCTGCCTTGAGGGAAAGAACAGTTTTAGCAAGGAATTGGGTTTCTTTAACTTAAAAGATTTGTTTTAGATCTTTTAAAAAGAGGTGCCCCTTGTTCTTCCTATAGATCCTGACAACTCCTCTGTTCGCCCCACTCCTTCTTGTATGAGAACAGAAACGTGTTTTTCCAACATCGGTCCAGCAGAGGGCTCCCTTGGGCTCAGGGAGTTGCAGAAGCTCAGGTGAGTTTACCTGGCTGGATAACTGGCCGGCCTTTGTCCGGAAATACAAGAAGTTGACTCAGCCAAAGAGGGGTGAAAAAGGGAGCGTGCCCGATCTCCCCTCTCCTTTCCGCTTCCGAAGACTATCTGGGACTGTGGGACTGGAGAAAAGCATACAAAGGAGACTTCTAGACAGGTAAGGATGGAAAGGAGAATTTTTTAAAAAAAATTAGTTGTAGAAGAAGGTAGCCGTGTTAGTCTGTGCAATTATTAGAGGTATAAGCAAAATAAAAGTAAAAAATAAAAATAAAACACCAAATAAAAAGACGAAAACTGTGTGGGACCTTAAAGACGAACTTTACAAGCTCACATTAAAAAAGTGTATAAAGCTGGTCTTTAGGGTGCCACCATATTTTTGTCTCCTTATTTTATTTTCGTTTTACTTCTATTTTGTTTTTACCTATACACCTCTTGCCCTCTTCTCTACGGATAAGAGCCAAATTCATTCAAACCGTCCGCGTTTCTGAGCTCAGCATGGATCTGCTCGAAGAGGGAAGAAAGGAAACCTAGGTTGGCATTCTTTAAAATCCTTTATGCCTAAGGACAACGTGAAGTCAGATGTGTACGGGCCTACCTTGAAGGGAGGGTTTCTATGGGGGGAGCAGGAGAAGGCTGGGGGTAAAAAAAACAGTGTGAACGGCCTCTTTCGATCCAAAACGGTGACATATGGGGCAGGAGAAATCAGGGCGTTGGTGTGAACCATGGTTAAGATCTTCACAAAAAGACGTCCGTTTCTCGTGCCTTCCATGTGGGATTTTACTTACCCGATTTTATGTGGGTTTGCTGAGCTGCTCAACAGATTTTGCAACCTGAAGGGAGGCTGTTTGCCCCCTCCCCATTTCAAGTTATTTGGAACTTCAGGTAGAGAATCTCACGAGAGACTCCTAAAGGATTTTATTTTATATATATTTTTAAAAATCATCATGGTACTTGTAATGAGAATTTAGATCATTACGAATCTGCTCCGGTTTGGCGAACCGGAGCCAACATCGGCTGGGTGCTTTGAAAACCGGCCCATAACTATGAACCCAAATTACAAACGGAAATACGATCCTGCACCATTCTCCCGCCGGCTGAATTGTGAGCAGAGCCCAGGGTATTAATTAAGGTGCATGAAGCAATTTCAATTAAAAGAACAGAGCTTTCCTGCCGGAAGCCCTCAGCCATCGACTGGGGCCATCTTGGCGATGGCCTAGATAGGAGAAGTAGTCCAACCCTCCCGTGCTTAAGCGGTAAATTGCTGGCATTCAAAGCCATTGCATTCTAGGCTGAGGAAGCCTTGAGTTCGAACCCTCGTTGTGGGGGGCGGATGGAGGGAGAGCAGGCCCTCTGTGAGGTCTGCGAGGCAGTTTTGTGTCTTATTTTCTCCTAAACTAAAATATTCATGTTTGTAAAGAGTTTTGACTCGAAGATACTCTCTGCGGGCCGAATCCAATCCCATCACACCCTTTTATTCCTTCCCCTTCCTCTCTCCAGGATGCCAGAGGCGCCGCTCATGCTATCGGCCCTGATCCGGACCATACGAAGTGCACGGACCCAGGCGGAGGAGCGCGAACTGATCCAAAGAGAAAGTGCCAAGATCCGTGGCGCTTTTAGAAGCGATGAATCTGAAACCCGAGCTTCCAATTTAGCTAAATTACTCTATATCTACATGTTGGGCTATCCTGCCCATTTTGGCCAGGTACCTCTCCGTCATGAGGCACCTCGCTGTCGTTCTCCACCACCATGTATTTTTTTTTCATGACGCGTTCTCCTCACAAGATCGGGGAGGAAGCTTAGAGATGGGATTTGATCACCTCAAGTGAGATTCATGGCTAAGTGGGGATTTGAACTCGGGTCTCGCCAATCTGAGTTGGGCGCTCTAACCCCTTGACCACAACATATGCAGTGCTCACCTCTAGACCATACAAGATACCCCTAAAGGCCAGCCGCCACTGACCAGCGTGGCCTTAGCCTGAATCCTTGAGCCAACCCAAGCCGCCAGCAGGTTCTGGGACCCCTTCTTAGACTTCTTTCTAAACATGTTGACCCACTTCTGGTTTTTATGCAAAGAAGCCATTTATTAGACGTCTGGACTGGTGGGTCTCCGTGAAATGGAAGATGGACTTTCTGTAAATAAAAGGAAGACATTTCAGCAGATTTAGCTTGCGTGCAAGACTCAGAAAAGGGGAAAGCAGTAGGAAAAGAGGATGATGACCTATGGGAAAGAGATTGACTCAATAAAAGGAAGCCACAGCTTTTAGTCTAGAAAGAGCTGTTACGGACAGGAACATTTGGAAGTCACTAATTAATGGGGTGCTTTTTTGGCGGTGGACTCTTAGCCACCTTGGCAACAGCAGGAGGTAGCAGGAATCGGTGAGCGGCCACTTTAAAACGCTCACCATATCCCAGACTTTGCATTCTTCCAGTGGAAAATTTATATGGAAATCCCAAATATAGAATCCCAAACCTATTTGCTTCTGGAAAAAAAAAAAGAGAGAAAGAGTGATTTCAGTACAACATCTCAGTAGAAATTCCAGCTGAGTTCCCCCAGGGACATGGGTGTGTGTGTCATTCCTGAAGCAGGGGGAGGGAAGCCATTTTAAGTGTTTAGATTTAGAATAATTAAAATGTTTTGTTTAAAAATGTGTTGTACGGATAATACAGGATTGCCTCTTTAACCCATTTAATTGATTAAACGTTACAGCCTTGCCCTGATTCATCTTTAAATGGAATACTTTAATCCTTGTTTTGTTATTCCTGCCGCCATGTTCCCCCCGCCCCCAAGATGGAGTGCCTGAAGCTCATTGCCTCCCACCGATTCCACGAGAAAAGGATTGGCTATCTCGGAGCCGCCCTCCTATTGGACGAGAAGCAGGACACTCACCTTCTACTGACCAATAGCATCAAGAAGTGAGGAGATAGGCACCCCCTATGTTTTTTTCTTATAAAAAGGTGTTTTATAAATAAGAAAGCTCACTGATGCCCTCTAGTGGCCAGTTTTTACTTTAATTAAAATGGGGGGGACACAGTGTTGGGCACCCTGAAAACATCATAGAATTTCATTTACATCCCTTGAGGGATGGGGTTACTGAGCATTTGTTTTTAATTTTGGAGGAGGGATGGGTTGTGCAGGGGCCGCAAAAAGATCTACAGATGGACCTCCATATTCTTTTTTAAATATATAACATTTTATTAGTTTTCACTATTTCTACATTTAATTCATGCTTGTCAAAAATTGTGTTACATGGGTTTGCTTATAATTATTTTCTTGTCTTGGTCCATATTATCAGGGTATCAGTTCCCAGCTCCCTCCTGGCAGATGCTGAGAAACGCGGATAATAGCAAACCCTATTTTAATAGCCAATGATATACATAGCATAGTCTCTGTCTCCCTCTAGTGGCCAGTTCTGGTAACTTCATATTTAGAAATATATCTATGGCTAGGATTTTTCTTTTAATCTTGCAAATATTTTCAGACTGTGGATAAGTCCCTGAGCAGATACAGATCCCGCGGATAAGGTGGAACATATTGTACACAATAAGTTTGAGTTGTGAAAAATCAGGGGAAGCTTCCCCTCAAGGGAACTGAACGTTGGGCCTTTGACTTTTGACTTGATTAGGGTTGCCTAAAAGACTTTTCCAACCTCGGTGGAAAAGTGCCGACGTCCAATACCTGTATTGGTAAAAGAAATACGGAAATTAGGTGGGAGGGTGGGGAAATGGGGTGCATGAAGGGAAAAAGGGGGTGGGAATAGAAGATTAGAGAGACAGAGGAGATTTGGGCGCCTTAAAGAAGGAAGCGGGGCAGGAGTGGCGCTTTTGAGAATTGTCTTATTTTCCGTCCTCATCCCTGTTTTTTAATCTCTCTCCCACCCAGCGATCTCTTGAACTCAAGCTCCTGGGTTCAGGGCTTGGCCCTCACCACCCTCGGGTCCCTGGGTTCAGCAGCCATGCTTCGGGATTTGGCCGGGGAAGTCGTCCAGCTGGCCAAAGGCGGACAGACCTCCGTACGGAGGAAGGTGAGAAGCGTTAAGCGGGGAGCCTGAGAATCCTGCCCGTCGACTCCCTCCTCCCCAGGTCCTTTCTCGGTCGTTCGGAGGCCATCCGGTCTCTTCCCACGCCTGGCGGCCTTCCTAGTCTTTTCAAGACGGGTTCCGGGAGCGGATTACCGTCGCTGCACACGCCCAGTGAGTTCCCCCCTTTGAGCATAGGTTTGAACCCAGGACTCCTAAGTACAAATCCCACCCTCTGTAAACGTATGTCACGGTTTCTCCAGTTCCCGTTGTCGCCTTCTTCTGGGTATGTCCACCCTTCCAAATTTCCCACTAGATTAAAAAGTGCAGGTCTGTAGACTCTGTTGGGAGAGGAGTACTCTGCACATGCTCAGAATCATGTCTTGCTTTAGTTGTTTGAAGACAGGCTATAAATTAAGCCTGGGAGGTCTTGCCATTCGTTCCAGAAGGGTGCAGCTGTTCTGCAGAAAATGCACTCTGCACATGCTCAAAGGCACTGATCTTTTACCAGAACCTCAGCATCAGAGATTCTTATTCAACTTTGTGCCTACTCCAACCCCTCTCCTTCTTATAAATCTCCTTTGCTTTTTTTTTTGCTCTCCTACTAGGCTGTGGTCTGTGCTGTGCATATTATCCGGAAGGTGCCAGAACTCACAGATGTGTTTATTCCACTTGGGGAGAAGCTATTGACTGACTCGAGTCATGGTAAGCACCCCTGGCCTTTTAGTCTGATGCCAAACATGGACGTCTAGAAATGTAGGCTAATATTTGGTTACTCAAATACTTCTTGACTCAGTCTAAGAACCACCTCCCTTTGCTGAAAAGCAGCTGGAGTGGTCAGCGTTCTGGATTCTAGATCAAATCTAGCCTCAATTGTCAGTAGAAGCTGAAATGATGAAACCGAGGCTATTCTACTTTGAACATATCATTAGAAAGGAGAGGAGAGGAGAAAAACACCGCAGGTATGAGAGAAGGAGGGACTAAAAAGGCCAAGGGTCAAGGGAAATGGTGGACATGGGCTCAGTTGATGGAGTGGCCCTGAAGGTGGGTCCCAAGCTTCATGAGGGTGGTGAGTGCATAAGCCCTGGTTCCCGACAGGGAGAAATGAGACTAAAGCACCCGCTTTAAGAGGCTCAGAAGGTCTTCGGGGTCAACCTGCCGGAGAAAAGCCTAAAATGGACCACGCTGCAGGATCAGTCTTCTCAATCCTCCCAGTGTGCAGGACACACAACCTCAAATGACAGGACGCCAGATTTCAGTTGAATATCAGGAAAAACTTCCTAACTGTTAGAGCAGTACGACAGTAGAAATCATGACCTCGGGAGGTGGTGAGCACTCCAATGATGGCTTCCACTTCTTTTAAAATGTGGGTACATGTACTCTAGGTTGGTCCATTTCCAGCACACAACATGACCTCGGGAGGTAGTGAGCACTCCAACGCTGGCTTCCACTTTTTTTTTAAATGTGGGTACGTGCACTCTAGGTTGGTCCATTTCCAGCACATGGTATCGCTGAAAATAGACCAAAATAGACCGTTGCAGCTGTCAAAACTGCCAAGGCTCCTTCTGCTGTCAATTTCTGGTATCCTGAAGTGGCTTAAGAAACAAGCCACTTCAGGATATCAGCCAATTAAACACTTCCCCTGCTCCTCTGCAGAGGGGCAGGGGAAGTGAAACTATTATTATTTTGCCTCTGCTAGATCACTGCTGTGCTGATGCGCTGAATCACTTAGATCAAATTAAAACAAAACATTTTCTTTGCTTTCGTGTGAAGAGCCAATCAAAACCACAGCTGCAGTTTTTCTTATTTCCCGTTTCAGAAACGGGGAAATTAGGAGTTGCCTTTGAAGGTGCTGTAAATTACTTTGGCCAAAATCGTCTTGTGTTTTTATTGCGACATAGATGCAGCAAATGTCTGTGCTAACTTAATTTGCAGCCGTGCGCCTCTTGAGATTTTCACCGATTGCGTTATGCCAGAGGACCTAACTGAGCTTCTTTTGGCTCATAACTTTAAATAATGTGGATGGCAGCAGCTCAGAACTTAAATTAGTACTTTTTAAGCTTTGGAACTCATGGGGACAAGAGCATATTACTGCCTGTCTGTCTGTCTGTCTGTCTTCAGGCATTTTACACGGCTGTATCATGTTAATTGCAGAGATGTGTGAACAAAGCCCTCAGGCCCTGGAACACTTCTGCAAGGTAGGACCTGGATTCACGTGGATCAACCTCTGGGTTTAAGCAGAATTGAGACAAAGGGTATTTTTTAAAAAAAAACTCCAACTCCCAAGATGCCCACCAGCTGGGAGTTGTAGTCTACACATCTGACAGTTTCAAGAGACACCTTCTCATCTGATTCCTGACCTTCATGAGCTTCACCATTCCCTTTTTTTCAGAGCTGGAAATGCCTGGAAGTTCACTTCTACTTCGGAAGAACCAGACTATTTAAGGCCCAAACTTTATTCCTTTTAATTCATTTTAGTCCTGCCTCTCTTTCTATTCAAAGATTTACAAGGCAGTTTGCTAAACGAGGCTCAAGAACTTTGCTAGGTAAAATGTCATGTTAAAAATTCAATTAAATACACAATCCTATTAAAAGACCAAGAATTAAAAACAGTTTTACAACACTAAAACTGAGCATGGATGTCTGGCGTGGCGTGGCAGATAGAGCGATGGATTAGGACTCAAGAGAGCTGGGTTCGAATTCCTGCTCATCTATGGAAATTTACCAGGTGGAAAGCAGTGGAGTTGGTACAAACAACTCTTAAATATTTGAAAACCTTATCCTGTGAAGACCAGTAGGATACCGTATTTTTCGCACCATAAGACGCACTTATTCCCCACAAAACAGGGGGGTGGAAAGTCTGTGCGTCTTATGGAGCGAAGAAAACAGATTGTATTTGGAGTTGGTACAAACAACTCTTAAATATTTTGAAAACCTCATCCTGTGAAGACCAGTAGGATATTGGCAAAGGTGGGGGAGCCATTTCCATCCTGTCTAAAGACATTCAGAGTGATTAGCAAAGATAAACCCTAATAAAGTACAGATGAAAAGCAAAGCAACTCACAAGGAAGTCGTCGGCAGACA